AGAATTAATATTATTATTAAGTTAATTATAATTATTTATTTCTAAGTAATATACCTCGTTGGGCTTAAGTCGATCAAAACATGTTCGATATTGAACCAACATGTTTGTAGATTGTTCAGAAGCTATCAAAACTTCATTCCATCTGCATTATGTAAAACTTATTCAGTTACATATAATTTAAAAATCACATATAAATAAATTGAAATTAATGTACCGTGCACTGAGAGGACGTCCAACATATTGTTCAGGAGTAAGTACATGGTGTTGTGGAGCAATTGTAGGAAACCTATCCCACGCCCACACTTGTAAAAGTATCAACGGACCTGCTATATCCAGGGCATCAGCTCGACTAGCCCGACAGAGTTCTCGATATAACCATGCAAGGCATGCACTACCCCATGAATATCGTCTAGCTTCCTCGAAATCAGTCAGTAGCAGAAGGAACATGAGATGAACTAATGTGTTAGATTTATCGTGAAATAAAAATCCACTGATGAGCTGCATAATATATGCTCGTGGTTTTACCTTGTGGGCCCTCTACATCCCTTTCAAGTGCCCTTGTATGTATCTGTTATACTAAAGGAAAGACAAGATAATGGTAGTAACTCACATGATAATACATTATATCCCTAAACCGAAACATTCGCTTCATTTCCACGCCAAGTAGAACGAAATGTTCATTCTTCTGTCCCACTAAATCACATGCACTCACCTATACGTACTGTCAACCCGCCATCTTCTGTACAATTTATGACTCCATTGACGGATAATGTTGTCCCATGCAATTTAGGCAAAGATGAACAAGAACACTTCAGTCAGTGGGATGATGTCGGAGGTGATGAGGACCATGAGTATGAGGATGAGGATGATGGTTACATAGGAACTGAGAATGAGGATGATGATTACATAGAAACTGAGAATAAGGAATGAATCTGATGACCTAGTTTGTGGCAGTGATCTATCCTCTAGAACACCTGTTGTTGAATTACAGTCTGTAAGTAGGAATGTCCTTTGTGCAACTACTAATAGTCAGCATGCATCCTTAGAACATATCGATAAAATTTGTAATAAGGATGATTTTATTGACGACATTGTAATTGGTAGTGTTTTTCGATCTAATGATGAATTACAATTTAAACTGGACGTTTTTGCTATCAATAGGAATTCTGAGTACAATGTTAAGAAATCTACTACAAAGCTATTATCTATACCATGCACGGAAGAGGGATGCAAATGGGCCCTACGTGCAAGAAGAATCAAAGGTTCGGATACCTTTCTCATCTCAACATTTTCTGAGAATCATAGTTGCGAACGACCGACACTTACACATGACAATCGACAAGCCGGTAGTTCGGTGGTGGGTCAGTTGATAAAGTCCAACTTTGAGGAGGTCAGCTGTCGTTACAAGCCTAAAGATATTATGAATGATATGCGAAAGAATTATGGTGTCAATGTCCGATATGAAAAGGCATGGTGAGCAAAAGAAGTCGCATTAGGCCTATTGATGAGATTGCCTAAAGAGTCGTACTATACTCTAAGTATAGAGAGGCTATGAAGACCGTGAATCAAGGAACAGTTTTCCACATGAAATTGGAGGACGACACATTCTTCAAGTACACATTCATGACCTTGGGATGCTCGATTAAGGGTTTTGGAAGTTGCATACGACCTATACTTATGATTGACGGGCACATCTGAAGGGGAAGTACAAGGGTTTGGTTTTTCGAGCGGGTTAAGATTTGTATAGGTGACATAAACGGTTTGGTTTTTGTATTTGACCGGCATCAAAGTATCACAAACTCCATGGTAACGGTGTTTCCTGATGCAACGCACGTCACATGTATGCATCATGTAGTGATGAAATTGAATGAGAGGTTTAGAAACGAGGGAATGTAAAAACTTTTCTATAAAGTAGCAAAGGTGTTCATGGTATCAAAGTTTCGCTACTATTGAGGCAAACTAACCGGATTCCCAAGAGTCTATAAATATTTGGAAGACATCAGATTCAACAAGTGGGCTCGTGCATATCAACCTGGAATGAGGTATAACCAAATGACCTCAAATCTTGCCAAATCCATGAATGCGATACTTGTTCATGCTCGTACTTTGCCAATAACAGCTCTGAAAATTGTCGAGCTCTATTACAACAATGGTTTTATGAGAGGCGGACAGCTGCCTCTAGTCGAGGAACAATTCTTACTAAATATGCAGATGATATTCTTAAAGAAGAGGCAGAATAAGCTCGATATCATCATGTCAGGCCAATTGATCGGTTCAAATTCAAAGTGCATGATGGTACGTCCAAGGTAAGTGTCAACCTGAATAGCAAGACCTGTACATGTAAACAATTTGACTATTTCGAGATTCCATTCTCTCACGCCATTAATGAGGCAGTTTTTCGAAACATTAGAGTGAATTCATTAGGTTCCAATAGGTACCGAATCGAAACCCTCATACTTGGTTACGTCGAATCCGTGTATCCACTCGGAGATGAGGAAGATTAGATTTTACTCGATGAATACGTGTCGAAGACGATTAAGCCACCAAAATTTGTTTCTCGTGTTGGACGTCGCCAAACTGTGTGAATACCATCAGTCGGGGAAGTCCGACAGTTACACAAATGCGGGCGATGTGGAAACGTTGGACACAACCGTAAGATGTGTAGGCAGCTGCTCCGAACAAAATGATATGGTTGTTATTGAATTTTGTTTTATTATAGTCGGAACTATGTGTGCTATGTAAATACTACTACATTATGGTTTTGCTGGCATTCAAATTATGTATTTTGTAGGTTCATTTCGGATTGCAAAAGAAATAGACTAGGTCAAGAATAATGCTTTTCAAATTCTGTCATAATTATCGGGCTCTATCTCGAGCGTGGTAGACCCCGATGTTGGCTCATTTTTTGGTTCTGTCAAAATTTTGGTTCAATCTCGGGCGAGTTGAAGCCCAAGGTTGGGTCATTTTCAGGTTCTGTCAAAATTCTCGGGCTTGATCTCGGGTGAGGTTGAACCAAAAGTTGGCATATTTTCACGTATTTCCATAATTCTCGACCAAATTATACTCGACCCCGACCGTAAAATTCAATGAGCTAAGAAAATAGAGATTCAATGATTAAATAGTTCGTACACTTGATTATTTCCGATAATAAAGTGATTACTAAATGATTACCAAATAGAGATTATAGAGAATATATTGAAAAATATTTCGTACAATTGATCACCAAACTGCTTTATTAGACCATAGCTGGAGG